TCTGTGGAGATGTAAGATATCTACTTTGAGATATGTGCTCTGAGATTTGAGACGTGTGCTCTATGAACTGTGATCTGAGATCCAAGCCCTCAGATCTGTACGCTGATATATGAGACCTGTGTCCTAAGATGTGAGATCTGTGCCCTGCGCTATGTGGCTGAGACTCTGTGCTCAGTGTCTGAGCTCTTCGCTCTCGTCTCTATATCCTCTGTTGTTTGCTCCAGACGAGGAGAGGCGCAATCATTTACCGCGGAATCTTCACCCAATAACTGATCATGCTGTAATCTCGTTTTTTTTTTAAACCCAGTTTTTTTACGGTAACGCGAGTACAAACACGTTGTCAATCGATACAGCTCTATTTCCAAGTAGCACCTCGCTGCTTATAGCCGTGGATGAATGTCAATCCTATTTGTTAGGGACGAGGCGCGTGCGGGCAATGACCCCCGTCGAACACCATAACAACCCCCCCCCCCCCCAGAAACGCAGGGGTCCCCCACACGTCCACTCTGTGGGGGCGGGGGGGGGGGGACGAGGGCTGCTGCCCGGCAGATGCTGGATGCGACGTCGGTGTGGGCCGGACCGTGCGCGCCAATCACCGTGGGGAGCGGTGATGGAAACTGAAAGCCACCGAGAGCGCGGCTCCTGTCCTGCGTGGCGCGGAGTGAAACACTCGCCAACACCGCGGGGCGACGTGGACAGCAGGGGGCAGTGCAGCTGCACTGTACTTCTATGCTCCCAGTGGTCCATGCCCCGCACCTTCGCCAACCGGCACTGCGACTGATGAGTGATAGGCAGCTCATTTGTAACAAAAACATTTATTCGCCATATTTCACTCACACCGCCTTGTAGTAGGACTCCTGATAGACGGTGGACGTTCGAACAGCGGCCCTTCATCAGAGCGGACATACCTCCAGTGACCAGCGCGGTGAAGAGCCGCCAAATAACCCCCACGACCCGCACGGTCGATTGACAAAAGGTTCTGGCTGTCAACGGCACACATGCTTACCATGGCCCCAGATTTCTCAACCTGCAGTTACTGAGACGCGCAATGACGAAGCTTCCGGTACGGGGAGTGAAACGTCGGACATCGTGTCGAACAACATGCGGTGCGACGCGAAAACCCATCGGCCAACCCACACAGCACAAACTGCGCGCGTTTGCTCAGCAGCGATATGGTGAATGTGTTCCACTGCGTGGGTAGAGACTGGGAAACTCGACAACAGTGAGTCTGGGGTCCTCTGAGCTTCTCTTCGCGGTGGCGTTAATTTTAAATGTTTATACTCTCTGGTTCTTTGGGCTTTTTAATGTTTGTTTTCCTTTCACAAAGCCGCCGAGTGCCTGACCAGGCGCGGTTCGCACACTCGGAGCGTTGGGGCGCCACCCCACCAAGCGACTGGAGATGAGAAATACTTTTTCTAATAAAAATACTTTTCTATTAATTGTTTTGTTGCGTTTAAAACATGAATATATAATGATTCTTTCAACGTGAATTACCTAATGAAGATAACATTTGAAGTTGTTCATATTATAAACCGCTGCTGCAACGCCACAGTCTGATTTGTGCCTCGGGGAGGTCTCGGGGCGGCTGTGAAGGCGTCGTCCGAGTGAGAGATTTCCCCTTCGTCTGTTGCGTTTTAGCTTGTAGCGTGGTAGCCACGCCATGTGAGACCCATTGAGGGCGGTGAAGAAGTCGCCCGTGGCTGTGATGAGAGACGACGTCACGAGGCGAGGTGGCACTCTGCAAACAGAGCAGCAGCTCACGGTCTCCACGCTCTCGGCTTTTGGCAGTGTCCAAGGGGTTGTGTCGTGTGGACTTGAGGGTCATGGGGACAGCATTTGAGTGCTTTGTTGTTCTGTTTCGTAATGTTTATAGATGCATACCGTTGGTATATAAGACAGTTATATCGCTTTCACGAGAAGGCCAATAACATGACCAGGTTCTTCTTAATTATACTGTACCACCATATTTTCAGAGGTCACTCACAGAACAGCCCCACCTAGTGGGCATATCACGAGTCGCCACTGTGCCCGACTATCAAGTTCAGAAGTGGCAAATGGAGTGTCTCTCCCACTACGACGCAGCGATGTGTCTCGGCGACTTCTCCTTCTGCCTCTCCGAGGTCAGACGCACGGCGGCGAGGCCCCGCGTGGCTGCGCGCCGCCCGCGACGACCCCAAAAAAGCGACAACGGGAATTGGAGGAGGAGGATGGAGCAGGATGGATGGAGGAGGATGGATGGAGGAGGATGGATGGAGGAGGCGAATCGGAAGACCTGGCAAAGGTCCCGGGAATGGATTCCGGGCGGGGCTGCGGTGAATGTGTGGACCTCGTGCTGCTGGCTGCTTGGATACTTGCAAGCGTCATTTTAACTTTGATCATTACCTCCGTGTCGACCGTTCAATGTTAATGTGCCATTGTATTGAGGGACTACTGCTGTGTGGGGCATCTTGGCGTGGTCTCGGACTATTTTGTTGTTGTTTTTGCTGCCTTTGCCCAATCTTGATACATCGGGCTTATATAATTAATTGATTTCTATTTAGCGACTTTCTTTACCATTTTCTAGACTGTTTCACTCCTATCGTTTGATGTATTGTTTGCGGTTGCAACTTACTGACCCGCCCATGCTAAACATCTGTGGCTGGTTGGATACTTGGGGGAGGTGAGGGGTAGAATCAGGACGAGTAGCTGGTTGGCTAGTTGGGTTATAATCAGAGCCCAGTGTAGTGCTCGTGTGCACGTATGTGCCCCACGTGTGTTTAAATCAGCGCTCCCCACGTCACGGGTGGGGCGCGTGTAACAATCATCAAACGCGTGCAGCATGTAACGACTTCATGTGTATTTGAACAGAGCATTGCTGGTAAGGGTGGATCGGTGGCAGTCAGCAGTGAATTGACAAAATCCTGTGAATTATGATCATTATTGTGATGATAAGATACCCCAGAAACGCGCACTTGGGGTATGTCGTGGAAAGCCACGACTTTCCCTGGGTCCACGTGGTAGAAAATTAACGCCCTGGCCAATGGACCAAGTCACGTGGCATTAACCGTCATGCCTTGCGAGGCGAGACACGCGTCGCGGGGGGGGGGGGGGTGCTCCTTGCCGAGTCTCTGCCAATTAGCCCAATTATCGCGGCGGCGCGCTCGGTAAAGAGCCGCCGCGTTAATTGGAGACGGTGACCTCGAATAATCATCACCTCGAATAATCATCACTTAGCATAATCATCACCTTCACGCGGAGACGGCGTTGGCCTCATCAGCGGTTCGAGATCTCCATAAACAGCTGGCGACGCTCTGCGTCTTGCACCCCGCACCACGAACCCTGCACCACGCACCCTGCACCACACACCCAGAGCCCTGCACCACGCACCCAACATCGCAGTAACTTTGAGCACAGTCACGCATGGATTAGTCGATGATAAAGATCGATGGCGAAGTTTCACGATTGTGAGTCTTAAGAATGGCGAGGGAAGAGTCCCGACGTGCTTTGCTTCGTCGGCATCTTTGTTGCATCAAAGCGGGAGCCAAGTGATGGAACAAGGAGGAGATTGCGAGCGCCGCCGTGGCGGTGGCCGTGGCGGTGGCCGTGGTGGTAACGAGAAGGAGCGTCCCGCGTGCGTCGAGAAGAAGGCGTCGTTAAATCAGCATTCGCAGCTGCGGCACCGATCGGAGGCACCGGAGACTGACGGAAAGGCATTGAACAGCGAGCGGCGGCTGCTGCTGCGGCTGCGGCTGATGCTGCTGCTGCTGATGTTGCAAAGTGCGCAAAGAAGCGCGGAAAGCCGCACGCCACCGTGGGAACGGAGCGACGGGATCGGTTCTCGTGCAGCAGCAGTGGAGATTGGTGACGGCAGCATTGGAGCGTGGGGGGAGGGGGTGGCGTAGGCATGCGTTCATCCAGCAGTGGATAGAGAGTGCCTGCGATGACGATACGTTGTATTTAATGGGTTACCGTGACACACCCAGCCACTGGAGGCCGCTACATTGAACACAATGTTAAATAAACAATGTACTGTTGAGCCGAATAGAAACCAATGAATCGCGGCAATTGTATTCACGTTGGACTTCTTTCGCACCGTACGTAGCCAACCGTGATACTCGGAGGTGCGGGAGGACAACAAACGAAATGCCACCGGAATGGCAGCACTCGACATCCCCCGACGCTGCCAGGAAGCCCCCAGCCTCTGCACGCTGCGCCGCCTGCCACCCTCAGTGCCCACGACCCCCACCCACCCACCCGGCACTGACAGCCGGAACCTCACGGCCCGCACCCCCCACCCCCTCCAAACCGCACTCGCACATTCCGAACCCCACCCCCATTCCACTCCCCGAATTCCCTCTCCTGCGCCTCCCAACCCCGCCCCGTGCACCCCGCGACTCTCTGCACCCTGCACGCCTCCGTCTCCTGCACACCACCACGCACCTCCTCCCCTACCTGGCACCCGGCACGTGACACCCGGCAGGTGACACCACCTGCGCTCGTCCCCTGCTCAAAAACCCCACAGATGCCACCACCCCCTTCCAGCGACAAAGGTTCCCCGTGTAGCCTTGGACAAACTGTTGGGGCAAGTGCTGTTAGCGAGCATCTATAAAGGCCGGCACGGCACACGAGGAGGTGGGTTGCCAGCACCACGCCCGGCCGCATTTGTCTCCCTAATGGCGATATTTACAGATCGTACCATGTACTAATTTGAGGCTGAGTCGACCTAGGAGAGGCCCAATGCCAGTTCAGATAATCACCACTGTTGCTGACCACGAGGGAGTGTCGAACTGGGGTCGCGCTCACCACGACACCACCACTGCCACACCCCCCGCCCTCAGCCCCCAACGCTCTCACCAAACCACGCGCCCCCCCCCCCGTCCTGCCGACTCTGGCCTCCTCGCCCGCCCGCCCGCGCAGACCAACGTCACCCGCGGCACAACAAAGACTCCCACAAAGACTCCCACGCGCCGAGCGCAGGAAGCGAGGGAGGGAGTAGCGAGAGGGAGCGCTCGGAGGGGGAGGGGGCACAGGCAGTCGCGGGGGGAGCCACTCGCTTCGTCTCAGCCTGGGAATCGACCGCTCGGTTTTGACTCTCCTGCCGCCCCAGCGCCGTCGTGCGGGGCGCGCTCCCTGCCTCGTCAAGTTCTCTTGCGCAGGGCGCTTCGTGGCCACCCGCGTGCGCAGGGCGCTTCGTGGTCAAGCGGCAGCGCAGGGCGCGTCCGTGGTCTCCCTCTCTCTCGCGCTGCAGGGCGCTCCGTGGGCGCTGCGTTCTCCAGGGAGCTCCGGTGGCCACTCGCTCTTGCAGGGGGGAGCCCGGGACGCGCGACTCCCGGCTGGCATCCAGGAACTCGCGAGCCCTGGGACCGCGCGCGGGAGACGAGGCCGCGGGAGACGCGACGCGTCTTTATCCAGCGAGGTGCCGAGATGATGTCCGCATGCACACACGTGTCCTCGCATGCGTTTACACATACGTGTACACACAGGCGATACAGAAACACAGGCATGCACAAAGGGAGCACGCACGCATGTTCATGCGTGTCCATACACACGTTTATACACGTGCACGTACACATGTGTACGCACACACCCCCGCATACAAAAACAAAGATCCCCGTATAGCCTTACCCAAACGAGACTGTTGGGACAAGTCCCGTATATGCACACATTCACGTATATACACAGTCCGTGTACGCGCAGACGTCTGTACATATACACGCACGCACGCACGTGTAAACAGGGACACACGCATGCATACATAATGAGCGCGACGCATTTGCAATTCACTGCGCGATGCCCTTGGTGGGTCCCGCTTTGCTGGAGTTTACTGGAGCCGTGAGCTCTGCGAGGTCAGTGCTGCGTCTGTGCTGGGTCAGTGCTGGGTCAGTGCTGGGTCAGTGCTGGGTCAGTGCTGGGTCAGTGCTGGGTCAGTGCTGGATCAGTGCTGGATCAGTGCTGGATCAGTGCTGGATCAGTGCTGGATCAGTGCTGGATCAGTACTGGGTCTGAGCTGGATCAGTTGTTGGATCAGTGCTGCGTCTGTGCTGGATCAGTGCTGGATCAGTGCTGAATCAGTGCTGAATCAGTGCTGGATCAGTGCTGGATCAGTGCTGGATCAGTGCTGGGTCTGAGCTGGGTCTGAGCTGGATCAGTTGTTGGATCAGTGCTGCGTCTGTGCTGGATCAGTGCTGGATCAGTGCTGAATCAGTGCTGGATCAGTGCTGGATCAGTGCTGGATCAGTGCTGGGTCAGTGCTGGGTCTGAGCTGGATCAGTGCTGGATCAGTGCTGAATCAGTGCTGGATCAGTGCTGGGTCTGAGCTGGATCAGTGCTGGGTCTGAGCTGGATCAGTGCTGGGTCTGAGCTGGATCAGTGCTGGATCAGTGCTGGGTCAGTGCTGGGTCTGAGCTGGATCAGTGCTGGATCAGTGCTGGGTCTGAGCTGGATTAGTGCTGGGTCTGAGCTGGATCAGTGCTGGGTCTGAGCTGGATCAGTGCTGGATCAGTGCTGGATCAGTGCTGGGTCAGTGCTGGGTCTGAGCTGGATCAGTGCTGGATCAGTGCTGGATCAGTGCTGGCCACAGCACCCCCTTGTGCGTCGTTTCGACCTTCATCGGTGCTCGCTATCGGCAATTGTCCCAAACAGAATGCAGACTGGGGTAGGCCTTTATTGTTGTGGTGTAAAGGTGTGTGGCTGTGCAGGTCTGCGAGTCTGCTGGTGTGTCTGTGTGTCGGTGTGTGTGCTCTGTGCGTGTCACTTGACACCCTGGTCACCCTTGCGAACGAGATGTTCAAGGGATTATATAGTGGGAATATTCAAAACACAAACATTCTCAGAGAGCGAAAACTTCACATCACAGCCTCAGCTCTCTCTGTCTGTGTGATAGATGAAGAGAGCGCGAGAGAGGAGATGAGAGGGGGAGGTGGGCTGGCTTGGAGTCGGAAGTATCGGCGTAAGGCACTACCACTAGAATACTCGGTATGCCTATCCATAATAACCCTAAATTATGAACCAATTTGTGGGAATATAGAGCAGTTCACAACTCACGCGAGATGGATGTGTGGTTCTAAAATAACTCTGCGTTCCGTACTCTGCGGGCTGAGCGTCAGCACTCGTCAGGCGGTGGATGTGACTCCCGCACCCCCCTCTTCCCCCGCTGCTCGTGCAGGGCACGGAGTGGGGGCGCTGGCTCGGAGAGGCTCGGGGCGCCCATGGCGACCAAGACGCACGGGCCGCTGCTGAAGAAGCACAGCCAGACGGATCTGCTGAGTCGGCTCAAGACGCGCAAGATCCTCGGCGTGGGAGGCGAGGATGACGACGGAGAAGTTCATCGCTCGAAGGTGAGCGGCGGCGGCGATTCGTGGTGGCGACATTGGTGGAGGTGGTGGTTGGTCTGCTCGACCTCAAAGGAGTGCCGGCTACGACGTGTAAACATCGTTACTGGGGAGACAAAGGCGGTCGGGCGTGGTGCTGGCCACCCACCCCTTAGTGTACCGATCCGGCCTTCATAGGTTCTCGCTAACAGCTCTGCAGGGCTTTAGGCGATGTGAATTATGGTGAGAATGGCTGTGCGTGCGTCAGACAGCGCCTGCCGACAATAGCGCGTGGATGGGTCATCGAGTACGTAACGATCACAACAATGTTGATGGTGGTGGTGTTGGTGATGGTGAAGTGCTACTGATGAAGGGGAAGGGCTGTGGATGGTGGCGATCACTTTGCGCTGGCGAGAGGTCACCGCGAGCTGCTGAAGAGCTCCATTCAGCGCGACACGCGCGCGGGGAGACGCGGGTCGTGTTCCAGGTTGGGTCTCGCCCCTGTTGCTCGGCACTGCGACAGGTGCCTGGACCCTCCCCCCACTCCACGTGGTGTGACCACGGCGACCGTGGCCACACCACGTGGTTACCTCCTGTAGGGCCGTGTGTGGCCACGGTCGCTGTGGCCACACGCGACCCGGCAGGCGCCCCTCGCGGCGCTCTCACCAGGCCGCCAGTGGGCGACCCCCCGTGCCCGCAGTGCCCTCGCGGCGAGACGCGCGAGACCTTTGCACGCCGGCCACGGCGACTGAGGCGACAGAGGAGTCTGGCGACAGGCGAAGTCCACGAGGCACACAAAGCCCCCCCCGCTCCCCCCCGTGTTGTCCCACGGAAGACGGTTGACCGACACGGCCACCGCGTGCCTTTGTGTGCGCTCTCCGTGTGTGCTCTCCGTGTGTACACGGGTGGTGCACGCTGCGTGCACACGTGTGTGTGTGTGTTGTCGTTTAAGTGTCTACGTGTGTTTGCACGCGTGTGCGTTTTATGTGGGTGCATGTTGGAGAGCGGTGGTGCAACGGTTAGCGCAATGCGATACGAACCCAGCGATCCGATTTCGATTTCTGCTCACGGCCAATATCTGAACAAGTCCTGGGCCTCCCCTAAGTCGACTCGGCCTCAAATTAGTACTTAGTTACGATGTGTAAACATTGTCACTCGGAAGATAAAGGCGGCCGGACGTGGTCCTGGCGACCCTTCCCTTCGTGTGCCCTGTCGGCCTTCATAGGCGCTGCTCTCGAACAGCACTTACCCCCCCAGGCTGCTAAGGCTATACGCAGGAGCGCTGTGCGTTGTTACGCGTGCAGGTTCGACCGGTCCAGCAGTTGGGTGACAATGGGGCTCACTGTGCGCCCCCATTGCAGTCGTCGCACGCTGTGCCAGTGGCTGTAATCGCAGCCACTGGCACAACACCGCGACCGGCAATGAGCTGTGGTGCGGCGGTGAGCGCACCGCGCTGTGATTCCGAACGTTGGAGTTCGATTCGCGGCCACGGCTGTAATCAGCGGCGAGTGATGCTCCGATCCGGTCCTGCGTGTCCCCCCCTCCGACTCCGTCACCAACTCGCGCGAGAGACCAACACGGTGAAGCATGGCTAAACAACCTCCGTGAGCGACACGGTCATGGGGTGGGCCGTCATCCAGCAGCGGTATCGACACGGGGCAGTGCTACAATGATGATGAAACTGGCACCGAAGCGGAGGGAGGGGGGGTTGGCATCTTTCCCTCGCCAAACCTCGCAGTTGCAGGTTGTTCCCGCCTCGCGTGGTGAGAGCGGCCTCATCGCCCTGCGCGCAGCCAAGAGGCGCACTCGGCAGACAGAGCCCGCAGTGTCTCCTCGCGCTGCCCCAGGTCTGTGAATGGGAGCCAGTGGGGTGGGGGCAGCGCAGACGCGAGGCCTCACTCCAGTGAATCTGGCCGAGAGATTCCCCGCGCGTCAGACAAAGATCGCCCGTGTAGCCTTGAGCCGATCGTTGGGGCAAGTGCTGTTAGCCCAGACCCTAAGAAGTGGGGTGGCCAGCACCACGCCCGGCCGCCTTTGCCTCCCCAGTGGCAATGTTTACACACCGCACCAGGTATTCATTTAAGACTGAGTCGACCTAGGGGAGGCCCAGGACCGATTAAAATATTCCAACGTAAAATCGAACTCGGGTAGCCGAGGTTGTCAGCGCGCTCCACTGACTGTGCCCTCCACTTCGGGGGTTTCCCCGGATTCTCCGCTTTCTCTGACCTCTGAACCCTTCTGAGAAAACAAAGCACACTCCACGCCTTGGGTGGCTCAGTGAAGCTCCCTCGGCTTTAAATCCAGAGCAGCAGCATCGTCATTATTATTATCATCATGGCCATTACCATTATTCAACTTTCACAAGAGACGGGCGCTTTCATCAAGTGGCTCTCAGCTGCGTCCGCACAAGGGAAGTAATTGATCGAGCGAGCGAGTCGCCGGTCCGCTCCGTGCTCCGCGTGAAGGGTTCCCTCTCTCTCTCTCGCTGCGTGGACGTCTTCCAAATGTTTCACAATTCGCCACCACGGCCACCACCACCACCGCAGCAGCAGCTGTGCATTTACCCCGGCCTCGCGCGCCGTGGGTCCCCGCACGCCCGGGTTGCCCAACCCGCAACCGAGCTCCGCCGCGCGGCTCTTTCGTAACAGACAGCGGTCTGCGTGACGCGTGCGCGCACACACACGAGCGTGTCTATACGCACACGTGTACGCGTGCACACGTGTGTGCGCGTGTGCCGTGCAATGACTCAATAGTCTCCGGAACGCTGCTGCCCAGGCTGTAGTAAGGATTATCGGCGTAAGGCGCGCTACCACCAGAGTACAAGGTGCGACTAGACGTGAGAGAATAGTACAGTACAACAGTAGATGTTGTTGTTGTGCTCGACATTGCCCCACAATCTAGCCCGGCAGCAGCCTATAGCAACTTGTTCTATGAATATGATCCGCGAGATTTTGGGCGATTCCCCTTCTTCATTGCACATCACGCAGAAGGTCCATTTCCCGAAACGTCGCCGATGCTATACAAATATAATTGTGTTTTAAGCCAGCGTTGTTGACAATTGTGGCGTGTTGTTGTTGATTATTCTAATGCACCACTGCCAACGCCGCAGCAGCGTCACCAGATGATGCGCTTCACGTAGACAGCGGTCTGATGAGATCGCGGGCACTTCGGGAGATGTGGGTCAGCGTCGCCCTTTTGTGCTGCGCAGGATGTGTGGCGGCGGCGCCGTGCAGCTCTTACTTTGCATTTTAGATTCGCGTCGTGTGTTGTTCGCCACGACGTCCGACGTTTCGCTGCACGTGCCGGGAGCTTCATCGGTTCGGGAAAGTTGCTCATAATCAGTTCCTGCTGACGAGGTAGCTGTCTTCGCACGCGGAGCGAAACGTCGGACATCGTGCCAAAAATGCTTCGGAGGGAAAAATGTTCCTCAATTTTCTGCGATCCTGGTCACATATACACAAACACGTAACGATGTCTGTACCACTAACAATGGGGGGAAATCGCCAAGGCAATCGATGGGTTCCGGCCGGTTCATCACCGGTTATAAATAAAGACCATCATCTCTGTGTCTATATTTGTCTGTCCCACAGCCTCGGGGCAGAGATCTCAATCAGCACCGCCCGAGGGAGTAAAACTCGTTGTCTCCTTAACGAACTATGTCTTTGATGACCCAGAGACCGCTCCTACGAAACGAACCAAATCCAACTCAATGGCACCAACCTTGTAGCAAAATATTTATAGAAGGCAAACGTGTCGGACAACAGCCCTTCTACAGAGCGGACACATCTGCACTGACCAGTCTGGTGAAATACGGTTAAATCACACCCACGACCTGAAATGTTCATTCGTCCACTCGGAACTTTAATCAACTCTTTTTTTTTCTTGTGGTTCAATTCCTCGGTCCACTCTCGAAGGCTGGAAACCCCCGGCAAGCCGTGCCCAGCGTAACGCGGCTGATAATGCCGATAACGTCATCACGCTACTCCCCCACCACCTTCCGTCCAGCGGCACACGCGGGATTATTGGAGGAAGCGAGCCGATAGTCGGTCGACCTTTGCACTCATTCCTCCTTGGCCGGACGCCTGTGCCCAACATCCCTGTGCCAAGTCCCCCGCGGTTCTCCGTGACTCCAGGCGGGGGCTGGGGTCGATCCTCAGCTCGGCTCCACGTTAACGATTCCCATGAACCGCGTGAACCCTGCGTGCGGTGGGGGAGGGAGCGGTGGCGCAGTGGTTAGCGCACTGTACGAGGAACTCTGGCCATGGCTGATATTGGTGATATCTGAACTGGGCTTGGGTATTCCCCCCCCCACGCCGTCCCCCGCACTTTATCAACCTGCGCTGCTGACCAGTGTGGTGAAGATGGACGATCGTGTTAAGAGCTGTGAGAGGTTGCGTTGTGGGTAGCATGGGGCACTGCAGTAAAATAAAATAGCGTGCTGTGCTCGCCGCCTTCACAACCAGCGCGGTGAAGTATGGTCAAATAACCCGCATGACTGACACGGCGTGGGAAGGCCTTCATCCAGCAGTGGATGAACATGTTAAGTGTTATCATTATTATTACTGGAAACACGACACGCTGTCTCAACACGTTTGATAGCCACGTTAGAAGGAATGTAACGCGTCCGATAGGTCGTCTACCGAGGGAGATGGAGCGATTAAAGCAGTTCGTGAGCAGATCTTGGGGGTATTCCTGGCATCGCAGGATCGTGAGATGTGGCGGCTCCTTGGGGGTAGAACCTCATCTAGCAATGGATTAATTATGGCTGATGATGATGATAATGAGCAACAGTTTCGTCTCATCCAACCACCACACTGCAGGTCACAACCCACTTCCTTGTGCGTTCGTTTGTTGTCATTCCCCCGCACCTCCGATTTGCACGGTTGGCTACGTACGGTGCGAAAAAAGTTCAACGTACTGTACAGACACACGTGTACTCACCCGCCCACTCACTCACCCACCCACCCACTCACCACACTGCACGTCACAACAACTCACCCACCCACTCACCCACCCACTCACCACAC